GAGGTTGGAGGCTAGAGGAGTGGAAGCCTGGAGGGCTGGAGGCTAGAGGTTGCAAGGCTGGAAGGTTGGAGGCTGGAGGGGTGGAGGCTGGAGGCTGAAGCTGGAGGCTAGAAGGGTGGAAGGCTGGGAGGCTGTAGAACTGGAGGCTGGAGACTGAAGGGCTGGAGGCTGGAGGGCTGGAGAGCTGGAGGCTGGAGGGTAGAGGGGTGGAAGGCTGGAGGGCTGGAGGCTAGAGGCTGCAAGGCTGGAGGGTTGGAGGGTGGAGGCTGGAGGCTGCAGGGCTGGAGGCTGCAGGGCTGGAGGCTGGAGGGCTGGCGGCCCTCACAGGAGCGGCCTCAATGCAGCTTCTTGGGCCCTGGTACGTGCTTGCGGTGGCCTCCCGGGAAAAGAGCTTTGCAGTGGAGAAGGACATGAAGAACGTCGCGGGGGTGGTGGTGACCCTCACTCCAGAAAACAACCTGCGGCTGCTGTCCTCTCAGCACGGGTGAGTGGGGTGGGTCCTGCCAGGCCTTCCCGCAGGCAGGCCTGTGGCTCAGGCACATCACGTCCTTTGCACATCTGCTCCCGGGCACCATGGCCTGGGGGTTCCCACGGCCCCCCTGCACTCCCCTCACTTTTCCCGCTGGGCTTTGCGCAGAGCCACCAGCCCTCTGCCCAGCTACTCACATCTGTGTCCCTGGGGCCTCCAGGTGGGACTCCCACCTTCAATACCACGGCCGGGCACCGCTCTGACCACGCTCCTTGATGCATCCCTGTCCTGGGCCATTTGGCTGCAGGCTGGGGTCAGAGCTGGGGAAGCCGGTCCTCTCGGCAGGCTTTTCTGGGAAATCTGTTTAAAGGAGGGTAATGCATTTGGGCCTAAGAACCACTGGTTCTTTTATAATATAAATCCCCAAACAATATGGTCATGCAGGCTGTCAGCCAGACTGGCCTTGTGGCCTCAGGCCAGTGCACCTGACCACACGCGTGGCTGGTGGCAGTGTGCAGGGATGGGTGTCCAGCCTTCAATTCTCCAACCTTCCAGCCTCCAACCCTCCAGGCCTCCAGCCTCCAACCCTCCAGCCTCCACCCCTCCTGCCCTGAGGCTCCTGCCTTTGGGACCCCCCCAAGGGCTGGCCCAACTCATCCCCCACTGCCCATGCTGGTATGGGCTGGCCCTGGGGGACCCAGAAGCTGTGTGGCCTTAAAGGAGGGGCCGGCCCCTGAGGTCGTGCTATGCAGAGGACACCTACAGGGCAGCCAGGCTGTAGGGGTAGCCATGCTGGGGCAGGAGTCAGTGCCTGCCTCCCTTCGCAGAAGAGTGGCCTGCTGGGTGGCATGGTGGGCGTCTACCCCCGGCAAGCTGGTGGCAGAGCCCAGGCCTGAACCACTGAGCCAGACACAGAGCCCAGAGAGGAGAACCTGCCCTCCTACCCAGCATGCCCTCCCCCTGCACCTGTGCCTGGAGGCTATGGGCAGGGGCCCTGCTGCACCCCCCCCAGGCCAGGCCTGGCCTCAGGGTGAGCTGGGACCAAGGGGCTCCAGGCTGAGGTGGCACCTCACACACGGCTTTCCTAGTTCTTCTTGCTGTTCTCCCACGTGGACTTCAGCCTCAGCTTCCTTCGTTGGCAAATGTCACTGCACCTTTGCTGGGTTTTTCTCACTCTGGGGACTGACCACTTAGGGAGCAGCGGCCTCTTTCCCTGAGTTGCGGGCGAACCTCCCGTCTGTTGAGTCTCCTGTTGCGTCCTCAGCAGCATTCAGCGTTCCTGGTGGAGATCTGGCACTGAGGATCTCTCAGGAGGTGAATGGGAGTGTCCGCCCCTCTTAGGACTCCCACGCCGTCCACTCTCTGAGAGCAGGTTTCCAGGTATTGGGGCATCTGGCAGAAGATGGAAGCTCTGGCCTCGCTGCCGGCTGGCCTGGCCTGGACTCGACTCCTGAGCTCTGTCTCCTCTCACCGGGCCCCGGGGTCTTGACCCTGAGTGGGTGATGGGCCTCTTCTTTTCCAGGCTGCAGGGGTGCAGCCAGAGTGTCACGGAGCTGTTGAAGCGAAACTCCGGATGGGTGTTTGAGAATCCCTGTGAGTCTGACCACCACGGCCTCACCCAGGCCGTTCTTCCCTGCAGCATCCCCAGGCCCCCTGCGGCCAGGGACGGAGGGCTGACTCCACTCCCGAATGCCAGGAGGCTACAGGTTCTGGTCTTAGGATTGGTGCCCATCCTGAGGGTGAAGAGAGGCCCCTGGACGGAGAACTGGAACCTTGCTCCCAGCAGGCTCATATGCCAGTGGAGTCCAGCCAAGGTCCCCATAGGTGCAGAGGGCAAGGGGCCTGTCCAGTGGCTGTCCATAGGGACAGGGCTGGGCCAGTGTGACCCAGCCACTCCTCATTCACACCCGGGACAGGCTGGGCAGTGCTCGTCTGTCTGTCTGTCTGTCTGTCCATCAGTCTCTGAAAACCCCTTGATGCTGGCACCAGGTGGGGTCGGGGTCGGGGGACAAAGCTTGGGGGCTCTGGGTGTGCTTCAAGGGGTCTCCTGGGGTTGGGGGCTCTCACTTGAATTGGACCCTCCGTCCCTGTGGCCAGCACCAGCTCAGTAGCCCCTGGACGGATACAGCAGCTGCCCTCCCCCACGGTGGGGGATTTGTTTCCCAGCAATAGGCGTGCTGGAGCTCCGGGTGCTGGCCACCAACTTCAGAGACTATGCCATCATCTTCACTCAGCTGGAGTTTGGGGACGAGCCCTTCAACACGGTGGAGCTGTACAGTGAGTGCGCCGTGCGGGGGCCACGCGGGGAGCTGTGTGGTGGGTGGGCCATTCGGGGCCTCATGCAGGCCAAGTTCCCCCACCTTGAGGGGGAGGAACTTGCACTGGAGGTGGCCTTGGAAGGGCCATGGCCAGCATCCCAGGGTAGGCGGTCTCCTCCCTGACCCTTCCCAGCCCCTCCCTGGTCCCTCCCTGACCCCTCCCCGGCCCCTCCCCGGCTCCTCCTTGGCCCCGCCCCAGCTCCTCCCTGGCCCCTCCCCAGCTCCTCCCTGGCCCCTCCCCAGTTCCCCCGGTCACCCCCCCTCTCCTCCCTGGCCCCTCCCCAGCTCCGCCCTGGCTCCGCCCTGGCCCCGCCCTGGCTCCTCCTTGGCCCCTCCCCAGCCCCTCCCCAGCTCCCCCCAGCCCCTCCCCGGCTCCTCCCCGGCCCCTCCCCGGCTCCTCCCTGGCCCCTCCCCGGCTCTCAGAGGTTGCTCCCTCCTGCACTGCCCTGGTGCCCTTAGGTCGGAGGGAGGCAGCCAGCCAGGAGGCCATGGGACTCTTCACCAAGTGGAGCAGGGGCCTGGGCTTCCTGTCACAGCAGCAGGCCCAGCTGCAGAAGGACCGTGAGTGCCCACCGGAGATGCCATAGGGGAGGCTTGGGGCAAGTTCTGGTGCCCACAGGGCATGATGGGGTGGCACAGACCCTGGGGCTGATTCTGGCTTCTGCCTGACTCAGTCACTCTCAGGGAGTCAGGCAGGCTGAGGGGGTCTTCACCTGCCCCTGCCCACAGTCAGGCCTGGGGGCTGGTCCCCACAACAGACGAGTCCTGTGGGTGGGGCCCTGGGGGGCTCAGTCCTTTTTCACAGCCAGTCTTGCCTCCCCTTCTAGTCACCTGTGCTCACAAGATCCTCTCGGTAAGCCGCCGTCCTGAGCCTCACCCTGGGCTCCCCCGGGGGTTGGGGTGGGGGAGGCCACCCTACGCACAGTGGGCGGGAGGACCCTCTGCCCAAGCCCACGGGTTCATGGCTCCACTGCCTCTAAGGTGGCTGAGGGTGTGGAGGGCGCCTCCGTGGTGGGCTGGGCCCCTCAGACTTGTCTTGGTTTTCAGTGAGTGCTGCGTCCCCAGCAGGGACAGTGCCCGCAGGGTCCTGTGACCCAGCCAGGGTCCGCCCATTTCGCTCAGTGGCTCCCAGGGCTCAGCTCCAGCTCAGAATAAAGCAATTCCACAGCAAACCAGGGGTGCTCTTGACTGGGGGCCAGCCGGGGATTGCGGGGAGGATGGCAGGGGTCGTCACCAAGGGCCAAGCCACAGAACCATAGAGCCAGCTGCAGAGAAGTCGTGTGCCCAACCCAGTCCCTTGCCAGAGTCCCTCTGGGTCTTCAGACACCCAAATTCAGGTCCCGGCTTGGAGGTGGGGGCTGGTCGGGGGACACAGCCTGGGAGGAAGCCAGCAATGACGTCCACCAGGACCACGGCTGGGATGCCACAGGCTCCACAGATTGCCTAGGACAAGAGCGCGGAGGCTGGTGGGGCTCAGAGGGGCCCCTGACCCCCCAGGCTCAGGCTTCTCTGGGCTGGGGTTGTGGCTCTTGCCTGGGCAGGGACGGGGACGCCAGATGCCCGAGCCTGCAGGTCCTCCTGTGTTCTGTTGGGGTGTGGGGGGCTGCCTGCCGTGCTGGGAGAAGCACAGGCCGTGGGGGCCTGGGGGCTAGATGCGGGGCTGGGGACTGTTCGAGGCTCATGCTGGGGTGAGGTGAGGCGCACACAGATGCTTTGACCTGCAAGGCTGGGCATGCACACACGTGCACATATGAGCACATACCCACACATGCACACACACACACTCACGGGCGCGGGCACACAGCCCCGGCCCACCCTTCGGTGCCTGCTCAGGTGCTGTGGTGCCAGGCCCTCAAGAAGGTGGCAGGGGCAGTGTGTGTGGCTGCCGCATGGTGCTCCCCACGTCCACATATGCCCCAGAAGGGCTACGACCAGCCCTTTGCCTGTCACCTGGGAGGCCTGGGATGAGGACCAGGGCTTAATGAGTCTCAGGGGCACAAACAGTGACTGCAGGCTGGGCACTGAGGGCAGGAGGGTCCTGGGGCCTCAGAGCGGCCTCTGTCTGCTGGGGCGGCCCAGGCCAGCAGTGACCACGGGGCGGAGCTGTGCGGGCTGCGTCTGAGTGTCTGGGGGTGGTCCCTGGGCGGGGAGAGGGTAGCAGAGCCCAAGGCCACACCTGCTGCGTCCCTCCCCTCCCGACCCAGGCTGGTGGCTCCGGGGAGGTTTAAACACTGGCCTTGGTGGCTGAGGGAGGAGGAGGAGGATGAGGCAGGGGCTGCTGGTGCTGGTGCTGGTGCTGGCTGCAGGGTCCCAGGTGCAGGACTGGTACCCCAGGGAGTCCCACACCCTCAACTGGAACAAGGTGAGCCATGCGCCGCTGGTCCCTGAGCCGGGCACCGGCCCTGGAGCTGGAGGAGGCTCCTGCACAGTCTCCCGGTAGCCGCCCAGGAGCAGGGCTACCAGGAGTTCCAGGCACAGGCGATGCCCACCTGGCTTCTCCCACTGCAGTCTCCAGCACAGGGGCCCCGCAAGCTGCAGGGCAGAGGCAGGGAGCCTCGAGGGGTTCAGGGGATTCGGGGGTTCAGGAGGGTCAGGGTGGAGGGGCCCAGAGAGCTGTGGTCGAGGAGGTTGGAAGACGCCGAGAGGGCAGAGTGGGTGTGGAGCAAGTGGGGCATGTTCTGTAGCAGGAGGGCCCGGGCACCTGCAGAGTGAGCCATGGGAGCAGCACTCATTGGCACAGTGGTGCCCAGGGCGCTGGGGTTGGCAGCAGGCAGAGTTGGGGGCCGAGGGCCGGCGGGAAGGGAAGTGGCCGAGCAGTATCCAGCCCCTAGGAGGCCACGTGGAAAGGAGCCGGGGCCTCTGAGGTAGGGAGGCCTTCCACCTGCTGGTGCCACGGCCCAGCCCTGTGCTGCCTGGGGTCCCTGACCTTCCGGGCACCTGGTTCTCTGCGGCCCAGCTCCAGTGGCCAGGGCTTGAGTGGCCGGGACCGAGGCGGCACCCAGGTGGGGCTGGAACTCCGGTTCACAGAAGGGTCGCTTGTCTCCTGGGTTCTCTAGCTGGGAACCTCGGGGGTGGGGACAGCCCCTGGATGGCAGCTCTCGTCCCCGCCCACACACCTGCTGCGCAGTTTTCAGGGTTCTGGTACATTCTGGCCACGGCCACTGACGCCCAGGGATTCTTGCCGGCCAGGGACAAAAGGAAGCTGGGGGCGTCCGTGATAAAGGTGAACAAAGTAGGCCAGCTCCGGCTGCTCCTTGCTTTCAGCCGGTGAGTGGGCAGCGCCCCCCAGGCAAGGGTGTCCCCTTCCAGGAGGAGGGAGCTGCCTGGGGGCTGGAAAGGGGTCTGGGAGGAGCCTGTCTGTCTGGAAGTTCCACAAGAACCGTCCCCCAACTTCCTCCCCCTGAACTCCAAGGAAGCCGCCTGCAGCCCCTGGGGCCCCCACACGGGTGGGAGTTGGGAGTGTCTCCCGTGCCGTGGGACAGGCCCCGGTCCGAATTGGAAAATCCTCACACCACAGAGCCTCAAATTGACAAGAGTTGGATAGTGAAGCAAAAAACTGGGGACCTGGTGCCCCAACCTTCCCAGGTCCCATGGGAGCAGGGGCGGGACCGAGATGTGTCGGTGGGACTCGGTGGCCGGAGTGGGGGAGGAGGGGTTCCCTGGTCTGCAGCCTGAGCCCCTGCCTTGCCCCAGGTTGAAGGGGTGCCAGTCCCAGGAGGTGATCCTGAGGAAAGACGGGAAGAAGCCGGTGTTCAGGAACACCTGTGCGTATGCGGTGGGCCTGAGGGAAGGACGGGAGGGCGGTGTGCTCGGGCTCTGAGCCCCGGAGGAGCTGCGTGGGACGCCTTTGTCCCCTCGGTGCCTTGAGCAGGCCTGGCCTGGGAGGGGAGGCCCCAGGAGGGCACTCAGTCCTTTCTGGACACTGCACCCGGCTGGGGGCTCCGAGGCCTCAGACACCAGGGGTCAGGGCTCTGGGTGGGCACAGCCACGCCATCCAGGAACCAGCGGGCATCTCTGGGCATCTCTTTCAGTGAAAGGGGTGAAGGCCTTCCACGTGCTGTCCACTGACTACAGCTACGGCCTGGTCTACCTCCGCCTGGGGCGCGCAGCCCAAAACTACAAGAACCTGCTGCTTTTCCGTGAGCGGGCACAGTGGATGGCAAAGGATGGTGGAGGGAGTGCAGAGAGAGGCATAGAGGGGTGCTGGGCACACGGGGCTGGGCAGGACCCGGGGGTGAGGTGGGCAGAGAGAGTGGGGGTTGGGGCGGTGGTCAGGGCAGGGGCAGTGGAAGCCGAGACCACAGCAGGCAGGTCCTGGAGGTCGCTGAAGCAAGGATGGGGGACGTCAGGAAGAGGCTGCAGAGCAGGGTGGGCCACCCAGGTGGCGTGGAGGCCACCAGGATGGTGGCAGGTGCAGGTGCGACGTTCTGGGTGAGGGATGCAGTGGGGATGAGGAGGTACCAGAGGGGTCCCAGGTAGGAGTCTGCCCGGGATGGAGGGGTGTGGAAGTGACCCGGTGTGGGTTAAGGGCCACAAACCCAATTCTAGGCACCAACCACTTGGGGTACAGGGAAAGGAGTGGCCCTCCGGTTGGAAGGGGTCGAGGGGAGGTGGGGTCCTGGGGTCTCAGTCGAGGCAGGGCACGCTCAGGGTGCAGCAAGCCGGGGCACAGCTGGGGGATGGCTGGAGGGTATTCTGCAAGCAGAGAGGGCTCCCCAGGCAACAGCGTGGTGACCCTGGCTTCCCAAGCCTAGCTGCCTCGTAAGTGGGGAGGGACCCAGAGGCCACTGTCCTCCTGTGGCCGATCCCTGCTTCACACCTAAGCTCTGAGGACATTTCAGCAGCTCCCAGGGTGGCGATGGGGGCCAGGGTGCAGATGCTAAAATGGCCAGAGCTGGAGCCTCTGATGTGATCCTTATCTCAACCTCAGATAGACAGAACGTTTCGAGCTTCCAGAGTCTGAAGGAATTCATGGATGCGTGTGACATTCTGGGGCTCTCCAAGGCCGCCGTCATCCTCCCGAAAGACGGTAAACTGTGCCCTCAGCCTTTTGCCCTACTGGCCCCACCTGCCCGTCCCACCCAACGGGGAGCTGATTCATTGAGGGAAGGAGAAACGAAAGGACCCATCTGAAAGGTGCCATTTTTTTTTTTTTTTTTTTTGAGACAGAGTCTTGCTCTGTCGCCCAGGCTGGGGTGCAGTGGCCGGATCTCAGCTCACTGCAAGCTCCGCCTCCCGGGTTTAGACCATTCTCCTGCCTCAGCCTCCCGAGTAGCTGGGACTACAGGCGCCCGCCACCTCGCCCGACTAGTTTTTTGTATTTTTTAGTAGAGACGGGTTTCACCGTGTTAGCCAGGATGGTCTCGATCTCCTGACCTCGTGATCCGCCCGTCTCGGCCTCCCAAAGTGCTGGGATTACAGGCTTGAGCCACCGCGCCCGGCCGCCATTTTTTTTTTTTGAGATGGAGTCTGGCTGTGTCGCCCAGGCTGGAGTGCAGTGGCCGGATCTCAGTTCACTGCAAGCTCCGCCTCCCGGGTTCACGCCATTCTCCTGCCTCAGCCTCCCGAGTAGCTGGGACTACAGGCACCTGCCACCACACCCGGCTAGTTTTTTGTATTTTTTTAGTAGAGACGGGGTTTCACCGTGTTAGTCAGGATGGTCTCGATCTCCTGACCTCGTGATCCGCCCATCTTGGCCTCCCAAAGTGCTGGGATTACAGGCTTGAGCCACCGTGCCCGGCCGAAAGGTGCCATTTTAAAGATCTGCCCAAGTATGCCTCCTGCCCCGCCTCCTGCCACCCCTGAGAATCGGGGCTTGGCCTGGCAGGCCTTGCACCGACAGCAAGAGGTGCCCAGAGCAGATGCTGCATCTGACCAGGCGGTGCCACGGCTGTGGCTACAGGATCGGGGGCTGCATGGCTGTGTTCTCGTGGTGCCCAAGACGAGCACGCGTGGAACCAGGGGGTGGCCGGGGCAGACGTGTTCATGGCTCGTGTTTCTCCTCCGAGCAGCCAACCCACGCATGGTCGTTTTCCTCTCCCACAGCTTCCTGTGCACACACCATCCTGCCATGAGAGCCAGCGTCCTCTGCTCTTTCCTTCCGAAGTGTGGTCCTCCCAGACCCAGACCCAGGGAGCGTTGTTCCAGACGTCAGGTGGAGACCGCGGCTTGTTGAGAGGTGTTTGGTGGCTCTAGGTCGTTGACAGTGTGAAACTCAAGTGTTTCAAGGGATCCTTTATGATCACAGAAAGAATGAGGAAGAAGGGTACAGGCTGACCGGGTGGCGAGATGTCAGCCAGGCCCCTTCCGCAGTGTCCTCTGGAGCACACTGCAGGCCGCTGCTGTTCCCTGTCTTCCATGAAATAGACCACAGGCTGGCCCAACGCAGTCCTCGCCATGTGCCTTCCCTCTGCCCTCCATGCCGCCGCCATCCTCTGTGTTCCTTGGCACTTTCTCAGGAAGCCGTTTGCACCCAACATGGAGGAGCCCCCAGGACGTGCCAGGCAGCGTGCTGCCCCTGTGGCTGCATTAGGGAGCAGAATCGGCAAAACGCAGTCCCAGAGTTAATGCCCGATCAGGAGAAGCCAACCTCAGCAGCGTGATCACCCGGATACTCGAGTATAGACCCTAGATCATCCGGATACTCGAGTATAGACTCTAGAAGTCTATCTAGGGGCAGCCAGGGCCCAACAACAGCAGGTCTGACTCATTCCATCCAGGGCAGCATCAGGGAGAGCTTCCTGGGGGAAGTGGCATTTGGGTTGACCAGGGAAGGGTGGTGGGTATTAAGTCAGTTCGGGTGGGGCTGGAGGAGCAGGGGTGCGTCCCTAGAACAGGATGTGACTTCTGAAAAGACATCAGAGTAGAGAAAATGGCTTCTCAAGGAGATTGGGCATGCCAGTATGAGCACGGCGGTGGGGAGAGCCACGCAGAGGAGCAGGAGGGGGCCCACCGGACCATGGCACCTTGAAGGCCGCAGTGAAGGGCTTGGGTCTCATTCAAGGGGTGATTGTAGCAGGACGAGCCACAGACAAAACTCCTCAGACACCGGATTAAAGAAGGAAGAGGTTTTTTATTCGGCCGGGAGTGTCGGCAGACTCGCATCTTAAGAGCCGAGCTCCCCGAGAAAGAAATTCCTAGCCCTTTTAAGGGCTTACAACTCTAAGGGGTCCACGTGAAAAGGTCATAATAGATCAAGTAAGCGTGAGGAACGTGACTGGGGGCTACATCCATCAGCTAACAGAACAAGAAGTTTTACAGTGCTTTCTCCTACAATGTCTGGAATTCACAGATAACACTAGTAGTTTTGGTCAGGGGTTAATATTATTATTATTGGCCGGGCGCGGTGGCTCAAGCCTGTAATCCCAGCACTTTGGGAGGCCGAGGCAGGCGGATCACAAGGTCAGGAGATCGAGACCACAGTGAAACCCCGTCTCTACTAAAAATACAAAAATACAAAAAAATTAGCCGGGCGCGGTGGCCGGCGCCTGTAGTCCCAGCTACTCAGGAGGCTGAGGCAGGAGAATGGCGGGAACCTGGGAGGCGGAGCTTGCAGTGAGCCGAGATCGCGCCACTGCACTCCAGCCTGGGCAACAGCGTGAGACTCCGTCTCAAAAAAAAAAAAAAAAAAAATTATTATTATTATTTTAACCACCAGGGCCAGGTGGTGACGCCAAGGTCATCTGGCTATTTATCTTCCTTCTGTTTCTTTCCAACTTTTTGCTTTCTCCCTTTTCCCCTGTCTTATAAACTAGGGAAAAGGGGAGGTGGGGGAGAAGCTGGGAAGGACAACAGGGGAAGTGGTGGTCTCATTCCATATGATGACGGGAGGTTGTCTGAGACGAACCCCCTCGCTGAATGAATGGACCTTCTTCTGGCCAAGGGGGTTCCCAAGAAACCCTGAACCCCTGAACCCGAGTCCTCGGCCATGACGGGGTGAGAGGTCAGACCCCTCAGAGAGTGGTTCTGTGCAGTCCATGGAGAATTCACTCAGCTGCACGTGTACATGCTTCTCCTTTCATGAATATTCATGACTCCTCCTGAAGCTTGTTGAACATCTGTATTTGGCCATCTCCTTCAGCACAAATTCCTGTTCCCTCTGCCCCTCCCTCCAAATGTCTGTTCCAGGCTTCTGGCCCGAGGCTATGCTTCCCAGCCTGTCAGAAGGGCTGCCTTGCTGGCTGCAATCCCTTATGAGAAATAAAGCTCTCCTGTGTGCAGAAAAGTAGTTAGGAGCCCAAGCAACATGGTGAGACCTCATCTCTACAAAAAATACAAAAATTAGCTGAGCGTGGTGGTGGACGCCTGTAGTCCCAGCTACTCAGGAGGCTGAGGTGGGAGGACTGCTTGAGCCTGGGAGGATCACGCCACTGCACTCCTGCCTGGGCAACAGGCTGAAGCCTTGTCTCAAAAAATATATACATAGGCCAGGACAGTGGCTTACACTTGTAATCCCAGCACTTTGGGAGGCCGAAGCAGGCGGATTACGAGGTCAAGAGATCAAGACCATCCTGGCCAACACGGTGAAACCGTTTCTCTATTAAAAATACTAAAAAATTAGCCAGACGTGATGGCACACGCCTGTAATCCCAGCTATTCAGGAGGCTGAGTCAGGAAAATTGCTTGAACCCAGGAGGCAGAGGTTGCAGTGAGCCAAGATCGTGCCACTGAACTCCAGCCTGGGTTACAGAGCAGACACCGTCTCAATAAACATTAAAGAGTGGCGGAGATGTGACCACCTCTTCCAGAATCCCAGGCCAAGGCACAGTCATGGAGAGGTGCGCCCAGGTCCCCTGGCCCCCCTCCGATATCTCTGCTCCCTCACGCCGGCTAGCTGCAGAGGCAGGACGTGAGCTGAGCGGGAGCCCCATACTGCCGTCCAGCCTCGAGAACCCCGAGTGTGGGCCTCTGAACCGCCCATTCACCAGGGTGAGGGCAATTGCTCTGTTCCGGGGCCTCCGGCTCTGCTCCCTCCCTTCCCTGGGCCCAGGGAAGCTGCCAGCTCCACAACTCAATCCTGTCAGTGGGGAGAAGGAGGAGGAAGAAGGGAAGGAGCTGGGAGAATGGGGAGAGGGGCCACTTGGGGTCCCACGGACAGGGAGGGAGGGACAGCAGGCGAGGTTAGACGCGCACACACCACCCACACCAGTGCACCTCCCTCTGCGGCGTGCCAGCTGGTGGGTCAGAGTTGCTTGAGGTTCTGTGGGTGCCAGCCGCCACGCTCTGCAGAGCCCGTGTGGTCTATGACGCCCTTTCATCACACACAGCCCTGTGGGTTAGGTCCACTTCATGGCCCTGGAGTGAGCCTCAGAGACACCACAACCTCAGCTGCTTCCTGAACACCACCATTTCCCTGACCCCCATTTCAGAGGCAGCGGCACGGCCAGGGTTCTCTCTGGAGGAAGATGAGAACAAGTATCCAGGGGAGGCTGGGTGCGGTGGCTCACGCCTGTAATCCCAGCACTTTGGGAGGGAGGCACAGGTAGGTGGATCACCTGAGGTCAGGAATACGAGACCAGCCTGGCTAACATGGTGAAACCTCCTCTTTACTAAAAATACAAAAATTAGCCAGGCGTGGTGGTGCATGCCTGTAATCCCAGCTACTTGGAAGCCTGAGGCAGGAGAATCCCTTGAACTGGGGAGATGGAGGCTATAGTGAGCCGAGATCGTGCCACTATACTCCAGCCTGGGTGACAGAGCAAGGCTCAGCCTCAAAAAAAAAAAAAAAAAAAAATTGTCCGGGGGAGCCCACAGGTGTGCCTGCTACCGATGAGCCCCCAGGTGAGCCCACAGCCCATGGACATCCTCGCTCGCTGGCAGCAGAGACAGCTGCGGCCAGGCGGATGGGGCTGGCCGGCATTCCTGGAGGGCCCTGTGCAATTCTGTCCTGGAGTTACAATGGTCACTCCGCTGGGCCTTCGAGGTCCAGGTTGGGGATGAAAAAGTGGCAGGGAGTGGCCTGAGGCTCTTGCCAGAGCCCCATAATTTTGGTCATAGTTTGCAATTCCCAAAGGTTCCGGCACGGGACTGGGCACCTGTGTGGCCCCATGGAAGGTGTTTATTTATTTTTATTTTATTTATTTTTTTTTTGAAGGTGTTTAAAGACCCAGAGTCACCAGTTTGGGCTGACAGCTTTTTTACTGCACGTGACTGGGTCATCTTTCTTCTTTCTGTTAAGCAAAAGCCCTAACAGTTTCAAAGAACTGGATAGGAAGGGCCGACCTCCGGGTGACGAAAGCAAGGTGGACCGTGGGGTCAGGCTGAGTGTGTCTGGCCTGCACTGTGAACGGCCACCGGCTGTGGGAGGTCCTGACATGCCCCAATACTGCAAACTGGGGACATCAGAAGCTCATTCTCAGTTCTAGAGGCCTGGACTTGGGAGTCCAGACCCGGGTGTTGCAGCGTTGCGCTCCTCCAAGGGCGCTGAAGGAGGCTCTTTCCTTTCTCTTCCAGCTGCGGGCGGTGCTGGTAGGTCTGGGTGTTCTGAGGCTGGGGCTGTACCTCTCCCATCACTGTCCCCCCGTCTTGAGGCCTTGTCTGCTGTAGCCGGCCCTCCTCCTCTCAGCAGTCATTGGATCTAGGACCTTATTTTGTCTTTGGATTTGTTTTTTTTTTGTGATAGGGTCTCACTCTGTCGCTCAGGCTGGAGGGCCGTGGCATAATCATGGCTCACTCCAGCCTCGACCTCCTGGGCCAAAGCAATCCTCCTACCTCAGCCTCCCGCGTAGCTGGGATGAGTGTGCAGCATGACACCAGCTAACTTGTTTTTATTTTTTGTAGATCCGGGGTCTTTCTATGCTGCCTGGGCTGGTCTCGAACTCCTGGACCCAAGTATCCTCCCAGCTTGATTTCCCAAAGTGCTGGGGTTACAGGTGTGAGCCGCTGCGCCCAGACACCCGATTACACCCACGGTCTGGGGTTACAGGTTCAGGTGGAACGACATTTTGGGGACACTGTTCAGCCCTGCACAGTCAGCTTCCCCCGATCTGCCCCTGCCAGGGTCAGACCTCCCCAGCACTCTCCCTTCCCCATGGGGGCCTGATCCCTGCTCATGGCCAAAACATCCTGGGGGTGCCTGGCTTCACACACTCTGCAGCCCCAGGAGCACCTGCCAGCAGCCCTGCGGGACTCCACTGGGTACTCTGACTTGTACTCACCCTTCCACCTCCGTCACGTAACCAGGGGCAGGGGCGTGACACCTCCACCTTCCCACTCCCACACCCACTGCCCACTTCACCGCCCACTTCATTTGGACTTCGTGTAGCGGCCAAGAGCCCCTACGTTTTCTCCAGGAATGTCTTCCAGCCTCAGGGCCAGCTTCGTCCAGGCCTCGACCTGAAGATGATCACACGCCTCCTTCAAAGCCCTCCCCATCAGTGCCGATCAACAAAGCAATTCCAGAATGTCCCAACCCTCAGGGGTGTGGTAGGGGGGAGAGCTTGAGTGGGGGAATGCAAACCCTTGGTAATGACCTTGGTAATGACCTTGGTGTGAACCTGTGTGTCCACAAGGCAGCCAGAGCAGGGAGGGGAAGGTGTCCACGTTTAGTTGATTTGTTGTTTTATCCAGAATGGTGATCTGTGAAGTCTGGAAGAAATTCTGAGTCGTCACAGAGAGTGTGGGTGCTCTGGGACTGCAGGCTGTCTGTTGCTGTCACTTTTGTTTTGTTTTGTTTTGAGACAGAGTCTCACTCTGTTGCCCAGGCTGGAGTGCAGTGGCACAATCTCTCTTTTTTTTTTTTTTTGAGACGGAGTCTTGCTCTGTCGCCCAGGCTGGAGTGCAGTGGCCGGATCTCAGCTCACTGCAAGCTCCGCCTCCCGGGTTCCCGCCATTCTCCTGCCTCAGGCTCCCGAATAGCAGGGACTACAGGCGCCCGCCACCTCGCCCGGCTAGTTTTTTGTATTTTTTAGTAGAGACGGGGTTTCACCGTATTAGCCAGGATGGTCTCGATCTCCTGACCTCGTGATCCGCCCGTCTCGGCCTCCCAAAGTGCTGGGATTACAGGCTTGAGCCACCGCGCCCGGCCACTGCAGTGGCACGATCTCTGCTCACTGCAACCTCTGCCTCCCAGGTTCAAGTGATTCTCCTGCCTCAGCCTTCCGCTAGCTGGGATTACAGGCATGTGCCACCACGCCCGGCTGATTTTGCATTTGTAGTAGAGACGGGGTTTTCCCATGTTGGCCAGGCTGGTCTCGAACTCCTGACCTCACGGGATCCGCCCGCCTCGGCCTCCCAAAGTGTTGGCCTTATAGGTGTGAGCCACCACACCCAGCCCGGGCTGACTTGCACAGAAGTGCCACCTACCTACCCTCTGACTTCTGTCATGTGACCCGGGGCAGGAGATGCGACATCTCCACCTTCTAAGTACCCCACTGTCACGGGGCAGCTCCTCTCTCAGGTGCTGGGGTTCAGGTCCTCTCCTGGGTCTCAGCAGGTCGTGGCCTGCTCCGGGGCTACGCATACCGGTTTCAGTAAGTGCTCGGTAGCTCTGCCCCCCAGCACAGAGCAAGTGCTGGGTGGGGGTGCAGGGGACTCAGTATCTCTGGAGGAGATGTTTCTTGCCCTCTCTCCACAGCTAGAGCTTTCACTAGCTACAGAGCTACAGCCAACTCCTGCACCAGCTCAGAAGGTAGAGCCAGCTCCAGCTACAACTCTGGTGCTAGTTCCAGGATCAGAGCCAGCTCCAGCAGCACACCCAGAGATAGGCGCAGCTCTAGCCACCTCTGTGCCGGCTCCAGTACAGCTCCAGCATCCGCCCTCCAGCCAGGAACAGCTTCAAAACCATTTGCATGGCCTCAAGCCAGTGACAGGTCCAGAGGCAGGGCCAGCTGCAGCACCACCTCCAGAGCCAGAGCTGGCACCAGACATAAAGCGATGGCTGATTCCACAACCAGAACCAGAATTAGAGGCCCCTCCAGCTACAGCCATCTCAGACCTGCACCAGCTCCTGCACCAGCTTCAGCACGACAGCCAGAGTTCCTGCCAGCTCTAGAGCGAAATCCAATCAAGAACCAGCTGTAGCACCATAGCCAGAGCTAGGACCAGCTCTGACACTCTTCCCAGGGCAAAGACTAGCAACAGCAACACAGCTAGAGGCAGTTCCAGAACGTCAGTCCCCGGGGCAGAGCCAGTTTGTCTCCAACACCCATGTCAGTGCTAGGACAGAGCCTGCACCATCTCTGGAGTCGGAGCCTGCTCTGGTGCCAGCTCCAGCCCCAACACCAGGTGGGGCCACACAGGGAGGCGCATCAGACCACACAGCTGCAGCCCAGTTGCGAGGTGTCCTGGGGTCCTGGGCTGGGGCGTTTCTTAGGAGCCCTGAGGTGTTTTCTGGCTTTGCAAAGGCAATGAAAATTTGAGTTGAATTTATCAACAGGTCCTGCCCCCTCTAAGCCAGCACCCGAGCTGCAGCCAGCTCTTATGCCAGGTCCTGCACCCCGGCCTTCCTGGCCTTTGCCTGTGGCTGCAGAGAGCAGGCTGAGCAAGAAGCCTCATCTCCTGGTGTCCCCTCCAGGCTTAAGGCCAGAGCGGTCTGCGCTGAGCAATGCAGAGGCTGCCCAGCCCCAGGACAGCAGCGCGGCTTTCCTCCCCGCCCCTGCGGCTCTGGCCTGTCATCCCCTGCTCTGGAGTTCGCGTCCTGGTCCGAGTCCCGGCACCACCGTTCGCAGCCGGGCGACCGCGGCGAGTCGCTTGGTCGCGAGGCCTCGGTGTCCCGCCCTGCGCGGTGACCGAGGTGCCAGGACAGAGCGCAGACAGGGCGCTAGGCAGGCCTGGCCGGGGTTACCCCGCCGGCCGGGACCCTCGCCCGCCTCAGCACTCATTAGGCGCCTGGTGTGTACCCGCGCCATGGCCGACACCGGTAGAGCCCCTGGTGGGGAAGGGACGGGGCGCGTCGTGGGAGTCCCACGCTGCCCCGGGCGGGCGCTGTTCGGCAGTCACGGGAGCCGCGGATGGCTGGGACCACGGGGACCCACGGGCTCGTGGAACGTCCTCCTGACCCGGCCTGGGAATCCTCCGCGAAAACGGGGAGCCGCGAGTGCCCGCGGCGTGCCCGGCACCTGGCGGGTCGGCGACGGCGCGGCCCCGGCTGCTGGCCCTGTGGGGCGTCGCGGTGCAGGCACTTCCGCAGCTCTGCGTGGCGAACCCACGCGCCCACCCGCCAGCCACGGAGCAGCGCCCACCGGCGGGCGGGGGAGCGGCACGGCCGGGGACCGCCGGGGGGCGCTGCTTGGGCGGGGAGGATTGACTCCTGCGGGCCGCCGTCCGCGCTATAAAAGCTGCGGCGCGTCCTCTCGCGTCCTCTGCGCGCGCCGGCGGCTGCCATGGTGGGTCGGCTCTTTGCATTCTCCTGCCGCCCCTTTCCCGAGCGCCTGCGCGGGCCCCGCCCTGCGTTCTTGCTCTCGCGGGCGCTGCGCGGCCTAAGGGACTCGGCTGCTGGCCTCCGGGTGCGGGGTAGGGGCGGGCTCTGACCTGGGGCGTCCTGGCCGCGTGAGCCGCGGGATGGGGCCCGGGCCGCGGAGGAGGCGCCGCTGCTGTGTTCCTTCGTGGAGAGGGCGCTGCCCGGCCCTGCGCGGTTTCCAGCCAGGAAGCTTCGAGAATCCTGGTGAGAGCTCAGTGCGCGAATTCGGAGCTTAGAGAAAAGCATCCGGTTCACCCACGACCCTTCCGCTCCTGCTGCTGCTTCCCGAGTCGCTGAGGCTGTGGGATGTTTGTCGCATCTTTGAAAAATGGATTTCTTAGGCAGTGTCCACGCGTCTGGTGGTTGCCGTGTCACTGTGGCTGCTCAGCGGGAGGCTGTTCTGGCCGAAGGAGGACTGCTCAGTTGTCTGGCGGGCATTCCGCCTTATAGTCCTGGTGCCTTGGTACCTGCAGGGGATCAGCAGCCCGCGTTCCGTGGCACAGTGTTGTAACTCCAGCTCCCCTCCCGCAAATTAACCAGAGAGTAAGGGGAGAGAGTAACCTGGGTCGGATTTTTCTAGAATGGCCCTTGTGGCAGTGAGCTTTTTGGTGGCAGGGATCATCTTTGGTCCACCCTCCTGGAGACCGGGAACGCGGCCTTTTTTGAGACAGAGTCTCGCTCTGTAGACCAGGCTGGAGTGCGGTGGCGCGATCTCAGCTCGCTGCCACGTCTGCCTCCTGGGTTTAAGCGATTTTCCTGCTTCAGCCTCCCGAGTAGCTGGGATTACAGGCGCCCACCACCAGGCCAGCTAACTTTTTTTTTTTTTTTTTTTTTTTTGTATTTTTAGTAGAGACGGGATTTCACCATGTTGGCCAGGCTGGTTTTGAACTCCTGATCTCAAGTGATCCCGCCCGCCTCGGCCTCCCAAAAAAATGCAGTGTTTGTGTGATGCCCTTCTGTGGTGTTTGCAAGATTTATACAAAATTGGGGTTTCTTTTTTCTCTAGGACGTGTGCTCACTGGAAACGGCATGTGCTTGGGGTGTTGGGTAAGTTGGTACGTGGGAGCTGGAACAGGGTCAATCCTCCAGTGTAACTAAGCCCTGCTATGCGACATCTTCAGTGACTGGAGGGACCAGTCGGTCTTGTGTTCACGTTGTGGCTAGAAGCTGTCTCTCCAGGGGAATAAAAACGGATTATTTCATCTTCTACAGGACACTGCCCCTAGAGGCGTTGCAGCTGTGGCTGCCGTGTCACATCTGTGTCATTAGGTGGCAGAGATTAGAGAGGCTATGTCTACGCTCGGCGTTCTGCCCCGTGAACGTTTGAATGTTTGATAGTCTGACACTCCTGTTTTATGGACAGGCATCTGTTTTCCTTTGCTGGTATCAGAGGGCAGGCCTTGTGAGTGGGCTTTCTTTTTTTTTTTTTTTTTTTTTTTTTTTTTTTTGAGACGGAGTCTTGCTCTGTAGCCCGGGCTGGAGTGCAGTGGCCGGATCTCAGCTCACTGCAAGCTCCGCCTCCCGGGTTTACGCCATTCTCCTGCCTCAGCCTCCGGAGTAGCTGGGACTACAGGCGCCCGCCACCTCGCCCGGCTAGTTTTTTTTTTTTTTTTGTATTTTTAGTAGAGACGGGGTTTCACGGTGTTAGCCAGGATGGTCTCGATCTCCTGACCTCGTGATCCGCCCGTCTCGGCCTCCCAAAGTGCTGGGATTACAGGCTTGAGCCACCGCGCCCGGCCTGTGAGTGGGCTTTCTAACCCTTGCTCTGGGCTAGGCTGGCCGCTAGGGGTCTGAAGGGATAGTGGGAAGGTAGAGGGTACCTCCAGGAGCAGCCTTCAGGAGTGAATTTTAAGAACCTGTGAGAGGATCGGTCAGGTCTGGCGTGCGCTGGGCCACGCCATACACCGTGTCAGGATCACGCAGGACAGGACTGGGGAAGGGTTTGCTGGTGTCTGAGTTAATAGCAGTAACGGCAGCCACTTGATTGTGTTCTTGATTCTTTGCCAAGCATTCTTTGTTATTTAACACAGGAAGGTGACTTCGCCTGTGATGGACTTCCAGTGTGAGCACTGGCCAGGGTGACCAGGCTGACCTGCACCAGCCCTGATCAAGGTAAGAGGCGAGGCGGAAGCTTGCCCTCCCTCCCTGCCTGCCCTTGCTGCCGGGTGGGTGTGAGTGGCTGCCCTGCAGATGCTGTCCTGGACCTGTCGGCACCAGACAGTTGCTCTGCCGTGCCTGTGACCTCGGGGCAAAGAGGAAGTGGCGATTTCTACACTCAGTGCCCGGGAACCAGTGGGCACTGAGAATGGTTTATGGCCTGACATGACATGACTTGCAGCCAAAGCCAGGCAGCGTTTGGGTTTTGCTTTGGAAAACACCTTACCTGCTTTGCTCCATGAGGGAGGGGCAGCAACATTGCTGGGAACCCTGAGGTGTAGATATGTATAAATGAGGTGCGTGTGTGTCTGAAGCTCCGGGCACTTGTGGGGTTACCAGGAGTGTGCGTCTCACTCCCAGGCCTTGTTCTGGGAATTATTCTGCAGGTCTGTCTGGGAGGCCTTGGGCAAGTTTGACTAAGAGCAGTTGAGCTGGGATAAACAGGCTATTTGGAAACAGGGATCCTCTCCCCAGAATGGGTAGGAATGGGGGTACAGAGGCCAAAGACACAGCCACACGTCCTGCAATGCCTGGGATGCCCCACAGTGAAGAGTGATGTGGCTCTAAATGTCAGCAGTGCCAGTGTTAAATTTCTGCCAAGAGATCATATCAAGAAAGATAACTTTAAAATACAGTTTGCGGAGGCTGAGCGCGGTGGCTCAGGCCTGTAATCCCAGCACTTTGGGAGGTCGAGGCAGGTGGATCACCTGAGGTCAGGAGTTCAAGACCAGCCTGAAACCCCGTCGCTACTAAAAATACAAAAATTAGCCAGGTGTGGTGGTGCGAGCCTGTAATCCCAGCTATTTGGGAGGCTGAGGCAGGAGAATCGCTTGAACCTGGAAGGCAGAGGTTGCAGTGAGCCAAGATCACGCCACTGTACTCCAGCCTGGGTAACAGAGTGGGACTCTGTCTTGGAAAAAAAGAAAGTTTCAGGATTTCATAAATTGGGTTCTCTGAAGGTCATTTGGTGAATCCAGGTTAAAAAACGCTGGTCTGCATCACTGTCCTTGTTTGCTTTTCAGATGCAGAGGCCAGGATGTGGGCCCAGCCCTGTGCAGGAGGCTGGCTGGAATAAAGGTACAGATACAGGCCTTGCCCCCTCTGGGACCACTGGCACTCGGGGTGTTTGCAGCCTCAGAGCCCAGCTTTCCACAAGCCCACCTGCCCCCAGGGCCACAGCTGCATCTCCTGCTCTGCTTTCATTACAGGGATGAGCAGGCTGGCATTGGGGCACTCGCTGCCCCTGCCTGGGTAGTGCTGTGTATTCCAGCCAGGGGCCACTGCCAGGACCACCCCTCCATTTTCATATCGCGATTCTTTTTTTTTTTTTTTTTTTTTTTTTTGAGACGGAGTCTTGCTCTGTCGCCCAGGCTGGAGTGCAGTGGCGCGATCTCGGCTCACTGCAAGCTCCACCTCCCGGGTTCACGCCATTCTCCTGCCTCAGCCTCCCGAGTAGCTGGGACTACAGGCGCCCACAACCGCGCCCGGCTAATTTTTTGTATTTTTAGTAGAGACGGGGTTTCACCGTGGTCTCGATCTCCTGACCTTGTGATCCGCCCGCCTCGGCCTCCCAAAGTGCTGGGATTACAGGCGTGAGCCACCGCGCCCGGCAATATCGCGATTCTTAAGTTCTGCCATTGTGGTATTCTGGTGGAAAAAAAAAACCGGTTGCTTGGCTGTTTTTGAACTGCCTGGAACCTAAGATCCTGAATTTTCCCCTCTAAGGGGGAAAATATATATGGAAAACGTTTATTTTGAAATACAGAATGAAGTGAATTAAAAGATTTAATGCACACTTCTTCAAGGATAGTATTTCTGTGTTGGCAAAATTTGAGAATAAATTGGCCTTGAATGGAATGGATTGTCTTGACTCAGACGTTGGGAGCAGAGCCCGGCCTGAAGAAAGGTGTTGCTGTGGTGGGATCTTCTCCTGGGGGACAGTTGCTGGGTGCCCTGGGCTACTGGGGAGAGTGCACAGGGCTGGAAAAGAAGTTTCTAGAGAATGAATTGTACATCTCATGGCTGGATTTTGTAAAATCAGTTTTTAAAATAACGCGTAAATCTGTTTTGTTACTAGAACACCTTTTTGTTCTGTTGTGTCACGGCCCAGGTTTAGGGGTACTGGTCATTGGCTGTTGCAGAAGCCGCTGTGTTTGGGGAACTGCCCTGGTGGCTTCAGAGGTGTGTGTGGGTTGAAGGGCAGGCAGGGGCTCTGGAACAGATCTCACCTTGTACTAACACCTGAGGGCTGCCTCCCCAGGATTCAGGGGCTCACCCCAGCCTGACGGCCTGGATCCACAGCGAGCGCAGGGTCCCGTGCGCAGCATCGATGGGGCTCAGGGTACTCAGCCCTGGGCATTACATAAAAGCTGTTTATTGACATCACATTCTTCAGAGTAACAAAACCCCTTGGAGGGCCCTCCTGCCAGGATGTCCACCTTTGCTCTGAGCTGGGATCTCCTGTCTGTGGTGTTGGAATCCAGAGCCCTAACCTTAGGGAAGTGATTTTGCAACAGTTGCATTTCATACTTTCTGACAGGATTCCTTGAGGGCGGGCTGGACCCTGGCGCCCGGCCAGCTCCAGGAAGGGTGGCCAGGCCCTCACTGCCCATCAGGAGTACTTGGTGTTGGAGATCTTCTTCCAGAGCAGAGTCTTGAGGTGGCTGAGCACCAGCGAATGATGGGCCTCCACCTGGCTGGCCAGCCCGCTCAGCGTGGTGCAGGTGCGCAGCTGCGTGCCCAGCTCCTCGCGGAGGTCGGCGGGCGCGCCAGGCAGCAGGTAGCCCCGTAGCAGCGCACACACCTTGGCCAGGTTGGGCTGGATGAGGTCGCCCTTGCACTGCCGCATGAGCCTGTCACACGGGGCCCTGCAGTCGCGCCCGTAGGTGCAGTCAGCGCTGTGCTCACAGCGGCGGCCCTGCAGGAAGCGGCGCACGGTGGCCTCAGGTGCTACCTGCTGCAGGTCGGCCATCTTGAAGTCGTAGGTGGCTGTGTAGCCCACATTGGCCAGTGTGGTCTCACACATGTAGAAAGTTCCATAGGAGCCGTGGAAGAGCTCCTCCACGAACTCCAGCAGACCGATGGCGATCTTGGCCCGCCAAGGCCACGCGGGCCCCAGCCACTGCTGGAGGGCACCCTGCAGGGCAGGCGGCAGCAGCGGGCGCAACAGGGGTGGCAGGGCGGCCGCGTGCCAGGCGCCATGGGGCACGCCCTCGGTGAGGTAGAGGTCCCCGCAGTAGCCCAGCAGTCTGGAGGCATGCTCCTTCTCCTGCAGGGACAGCAGCAGCAGGAACTCGTTACGCTGCAGCAGGGCCCACACAGATTTGGCTTCCGCCAGGGACACCCGGTTGTCCTTGTTGAAGTCGGCCATGAGCAGGACCTGGCCAACCAGCGCTGGCAGGGAAGGCAGGTCTCCCATGTTCGCCTGGCGTTTGGGACCAAGAGAGGAAAAACCAGTTGATTGGATGTCTGGGAGCACAACCTGGCTTTGACCTGGGTGGTCTGCCGACCAGACCAGCACCCTGCCAGGTTAGGGGTCCCAGCCCCCAGCTACACGGGGGGAGGAGGCAGCCAGCAAGGTGCCCACTCACTCTCCTGGCCTGTGTTGCTGCTGCCAGACAGACCTCCCATCTCTCAGCAGCTTTGGGTGCACCTGGGGAGCTCGGGGGTGGGCACCTGAGTAGAGAAGCCTCAAAGCTTCCCTGAGGATGAGAATGCCCTCTGCGCTGGCTGAAGCCCTAGGAAGCGGCCCCTCTCTGCAAGCCCTGGTCTCCACTTGGGGCACCTGCCGTGCTTGACCCATGGCCCTTGACTGCAGGAGCCTCCTCTCGACCTCAGCTGCCAGCCCACCGGTGCCCCCAGCCCTGGAGAAGCTCCTTCCCTGGCAGGGCTCCTGCCCAGGGGCTGGGGGATAGGAGGTCTGCCCAGGGTCCACTTGGGCCCATCTATGCCTTTGTGCTGAGCATGTTGGTGCCAGGGCCGCCCGCTGGGCACATGACCGTGGTGTGGACTCCTACCCTGCCCCTCAGGAGAGCTATCTGACCTTGAGGAAGCTGAGGGTCATCTCCCGGAATTCCTTGATGGAGGTGCCCCGGGTGGGCTTGTCGAACAGCACCAGCTCCCGCCGGGGGGCCGCATCCGACCGGGCCTTCGAGTCGAGGGTCTCCTCGATGCCACACTTGATGGTTACATCCTTATCCCGCCAGAGCCCACTGTACACCTGGACAGGGCCATAGAGGTCCTCTGTGCAGACGTCCCCCTCCCACTGCACGGGCAGTATCAGCCCCAGGCCCACCCGCCCTGCCTATGGCCATACCTGTTGGGCCGGGGCTGCCGAGAGGCAGGTCCTCCACTCCACCATATGCAGCTCACACAGGTCCTGGCAGACAGAGCCCGAGATGATCCCCTTGCGGTACTGGTCACACTGAGGAGATAGGTGCAGGGCGTGCTGGGGTGGGGCAGCCACATCCCTGCCCCATTGAGCCCCTCCCCACAGGCCCGAAGCCCAGCTGCACCCGTTCCTCCAGGACCCCTGGGAGGGAGAGGTCACAGGTGGGGCCAGGTAGGCGGGAAGAGGGCACGGAGGGCCAAGCAACCATCACCGTGGTCACTCCGTCCCAGCACCCACTGGGCCCCCTGTTCTTTGGCCATCTTTTCTCAGACCCCCAAACTGCCAGAGCTGGCGACGGCCACCTCCAGCCCACACCCGTCCCTGAGCCACACTGGGCCCAGCACCCGCCAGCTGGCAGGGGCCTCCATTTGCTGCAGTTGGAAAGCTGCCAGTCCCTCACAGGCAGTGCCAGGGCCCTGGGCCATGCCATTGCTGGCTGCAGGATGGGGCTGTTGGCTGCAGGGGCAGCCCTGCCAACCCTCCGGTCTGGTCCCGTCCCCACCACCCTGGCTCCTGTAACAGGACGGCTCAGCAAAGGCCACTGCCTGGACAGGAGACAAACACCACACCTAGTGTCAAGCCCAGGCCAGGGCCAGAGGCAGGAACCCGGAGGCAGCTCTCCCGTCCAGCTGACCCAGCTCTCTGGGCCATGCAGGTATTGGCTGGTGAACTAGAATTCACCCTAGTCCCTAACATCTACACCACCAGCTGCCACACGCCCTGTCTCTGCCTGACTTCATTCCTGCCTCGGGTGACGCCGGGAGGGAGGATGGCCCCCTGACTCATGGCGCCCTCCCTGCCCAGGTCAGTAAATGAGACATCTCTGAACTTGTTTCCCATCGTGGTGCTGACTGGACGGCGTCTTCCGTCTGAAGGGCCAGGAGCTGCCCCGCCCAGGCAGGGCTTTCCCCAGGACACCAGGAAGAACAGAAGGGTGGGCTGTTGGTGCCAGAGCGATGGTCAGGCTGGTAGAACCTGGACAGGAGTCAGGCACGAGCCACAGGGCGTCTGTCAGAGAAGCAGCCCCCTGGTCAGAGGTCAAACATCTGGGTGTCAACCCGTGAAGGGCGCCGCGCCCAGCCCCTCTGCTCCCTGTTGGGGCGGGCTGCCAGCCATTCTGCACTGGGCACTCATGGGCGCTCTCAGGACAGATCCTGGTGCCCAGAGCCACACCTGCATGGCGGCTTCTGGGTGGGTTTCCAGCGTTCCCAGGTTTGGGGCTCCTCCTGTCCCAAGGACTTGGCCTCCATCTTCGGCCCCTCCCAACCTTCCCCAGGCTGAGGCAGGAGGAGGACAGGCCACGGCCTCACTGTTTGCCCCACGTGCAGCCAGGACAGGGCTCACTGCCGGAGCTGACAGCCTCAAGGGTACCCCTGGTGGGCAACGGAGCCCCAGCCTTGACCTCTCCCAGCCCCTTGAGGCCAGTGCCCAGGCTCAAGCGCTCTGTTGTCAAGAGCTGTTTGTTAAGGCTTAGAAAACAGATCCCTGGGGCCTCACAATGACTCCGGGCCTGTCCTTCCCGGTCCCACAGGCCCCCTCCTTAGCCAGACCCCCAGGGAGACACTGTTAGCGATAATTAAATCAGGCCCAGGGCTGGCTGCCGCCCCTCCTCAGCCCCCACCCCAGCTCCGGGAGCCTGGCAGCCCCTGAATCCCAGCGCCCCGAGGGAGGTGACAGAACGATGCAGCTGGCCTGCCCCTCTGGGGGTAGGGGAAGAATTCCTGGATGTACAGCCTCAGTTGCCATGGAGCCTGGCCAAGCAGGCTTGGAGGGAGCCAGGGAAGTGAGCTGCGGAGCACCCCGCCCTCCGGGGTGGGGAAGAGGGAGGGTCCCTGCCCCCCTGCCCCACACACCAAGGGTGGGGACAGAAGTGAGATGGGCCAACCGGAGGCCGAGGACCCCGCCACATGAGGCATGAAGGCAGCCTCTGTCTCAGCAGCAAGAAAACACCGACTCTTCATCAAGAGAGAAAAGAAAAATGAAGGAAAACCGCACACTTGTCCAACCCTCCACCTTGCAGGCAGGCCCTTCGCTACTGGAGTCCACTCCAGTCCCCAGACCAGCCCCCTGCGCCCGGAGCCCCAGACCCCAGGAGGATGCCCTGCTCCTGGCACACAGTGGTGCTGGGGAAGGAGCCTCTGGGCCACGCTGCCCTCTGCCAGGCTGGCGCCGGGGCCGGGGTCCCCCCGGGGTGGGAAGATGGAGCTGCCCCCATGGTCCTGGGTGCCTCCTGCACCTAGCAGGGTGGGGTGAGGCTTCCTCAGAGGCTGAGGCGGGTGTGTACTTGGCCTCCTCAGGGTCCCCACCCACCGCACATCGGTCCCCAGCCAGTCCCCCCACCACCCAGCCTGTTACCGGTCTGCAGCAGAGCTCAGTGGGGACTCAGTCCAGTTCTTGGCCTCTCGAGGGCCCTGGTGGAACCTGGGACTGGCCCTACACTGCTGCTGCCTCGCTGTGTGAGCTGGGCCAGCCTCTGCGGCTCTCTGAGGCGTCCAATGCCTCCACGAGGCGGGGCAGGGAGCCTCCTCTGGCAAGGAGGCGACGTCTCCATGGCCCTGGGATGGCCTCAGGAGAGCTGAGCTTGGCCTGACCTCTGGGAAGGCTCTGAGCAGCCAGGGAAACCCCCGCTGGGCGAAGGGCCAGGGCACCCTGGGAAATGGACACGCAGCTTCCTCTTGTTTGTGGGGGCACCTCCTCCTGCTCCTCAGCGGCCTCTGCAGTCTGGCACCCAGTAGGTGCTCAGAACCCGCCCGGCCATGAGCGCCTCTGCTCACTCCCACCCACCCCTACCCACAACACCCCAGCCCGGAGGTCCGACCCCTCCACCTCCTCCGTCCTTCTAGGAGCTCCAGGGGTGCATCTGCTTGGGGCAAAGCCCTCCCTACTCATGGCCCCAGGACGAGCCCAGTGTGCCACCCTCCGGCCCTGCTGAGCTCAGAGGCGCCCTGGACTTCAAGGGTGAGCAAGGCCTGGTGCCAGGAGCCTGGAGGCCTCCCCTGGGCTGGCATGGATTCCAAACAAATCCTGGGCACAGCAGCTCTCCTCCTCCGGACCCCACATCCCACTCCTCCACTGCCACCTCTGGGCCTTTCCACATGTGGCTCCCGTCAGAAATGGCTCTGTGGGGCATGCGCCTGCCCACGCCCAGCTAGATAGCTTCACCACCCAGCTGCCAGGAGAGACGCCCTCCCCATCTGACGGAGGAGACACCGAACTTGGGGTGTCCCTGTACCCAATCCCCCTGTGACAACCCACAGTGACCGCTGCTACAGGCCAGATCCACCTGTGCCCTGGCCTGACCCCAAGTGGAGTGGAGGCATCGGAACCCTGGTCATCAGGCAGGCTGGGGTCAAAATTCGGTGGGGGACCTGCCCAGTTCTGGGCGAGTCTAGGGTTTGCCAGGAAGACAGAGCTGGGATGACCTCCCCGCCTAGCTAGTCACAGGGTGTGCAGAGGAGCAGGGGGTCACCTTGGTGTGCACTCATGTGGACACGCTTGCTCCCAGACACACACATGCTCACATACGCCAGGGGACTTAGCCCTGTCTCCCTGAGGTGGAGGCTGTGGAGGACCCTGCCCTGCCGCCTGCCTCAGGGAACCCCTGGTCCCAGGGGAGCTAGCAAGGCCACTGAGGCCAGCACACAGGAGTCTCCATCCTGGGCCACTGAGGATATCACGTGGGGGGCTCCATCCCGGCCAATGAGAACACCACACAGGGGTCTCTATCCCGGCCAGTGAGGCCAGCACATGGGGACCTCCATCCCAGGCCAGTGAGGCCAGCTGCCCACCCCAGCCTTCCTGCTAAACATCCTCCCTCCCAAACATTTCTGGAGTCTGCCCTGCCCCCAGCCCCCAGCCTCTCTCTCTCTCCTGAGCCCCTGCAGCCACCCCCACATCTCCCCTGTCCTCCCCTGGACCCCCATCCTCCACACCCAGTCTGAGGCAGCACTGCAGATCCCACCTAGAAACCCACATGCCTTGTGGGCCCTGGATCTGGGGAGGAAGGTGTCTCCAGGGCCTGGTGCCCCAGCGTCTAGGGCAGCAAGGGGGTACAGCCCAGTCCCCAGCCCACACACGCAACACTTACAATGACCACCTGGCAGACGTGGCCACGACAGCGCTCTGAGTAGGACGAGTAGTGCACGTATACCAGCCAGCTGCCCGCAAAGATGCCCAGCCATGCCAGGAAGATGCACCGGACCCTGAGGCCTGGGAGTCGACCCTGTAGGGGAAGGGGCTACATGAGGAGGTGCCCTCGGGGCACCCACACTCGGGGTGCTCTCAACCCCACTTCCCACGGGAAGGCCCTCTGGATCCACCCCAGCCTTCCCCTGCCATCCCCTTGGCCCACTGGTGCCCCCATCTTCTAGAATCACCCCCAGCTCAGCGACACCCGCTCCTGGCTCTGCCTCTCCCGGGTCACATAACGGGCTGCAGGGGCTGGAGGTGGGGACAGGCGCAGCCCAGACTTTCAGTGTTACGGGCAGGTAAAAATAAATGTCAAAACCAGGGGACTACATGGTGGCCAATTCTTTTCTCTGCTGAATGAAGATTTTTTTTTTCTGAGAGGGAGTCTGACTCTGTACCCCATGCTGGAGTGCAGTGGCGCGATCTCGGCTCACTGCAACCTCTGCCTCCCGGGTTCAAGTGATTCTCCTGCCTCAGCCTCCCGAGTAGCTGGGACTATAGGCATGCACCACCACACCACCTGGCTAATTTTTTTATTTTCAGTAGAGATGGGGTTTCACCATGTTGGCCAGGCTGGTCTTGAACTCCTGACCTCAGGTGATCCACCTGCCTCGGCCTCCCAAAGTGCTGGGATTGCAGGTGTGAGCCACCGCGACTGGCCGAATAAAGATATTTTTTACAAAGCTTTCCTATCCTGATCTCATTTCATAACATCATCACCTCTGCACAAGGTGAGCGCGCCCACCACGAGTGACACTGCCCCTATTTTTCCCGCTGTAATGGAGATTGGTGGGAAGTTCCGGCCGGACTAGGCCTGCAAAGAGAACCAGGTTTGGAGAACGGGGCCCCAGGAGCCCAACGCAGCCACATCGTGGAAGCATTTAAGAGACGCAGGCGGTGGCCGGGCGCGGTGGCTCAAGCCTGTAATCCCAGCACTTTGGGAGGCCCAGACGGGCGGATCACGAGGTCAGGAGATCGAGACCATCCTGGCTAACACAGTGAAACCCCGTCTCTACTAAAAATACAAAAACTTAGCCGGGCGAGGTGGCAGGCGCCTGTAGTCCCAGCTACTCGGGAGGCTGAGGCAGGAGAATGGCGTAAACCCGGGAGGCGGAGCTTGCAGTGAGCTGAGATCCGGCCACTGCACTCCAGCCTGGGTGACAGAGCGAGACTCCGTCTCAAAAAAAAAAAAAAAAAGAGACGCAGGTGGGCCAGGCGCGGTGGCTCACCCTGTAAACCCAGCACTCTGGGAGGCTGAGGTGGGCGGATTGCTTGAGCCCAGGAGTTTGAGACCATTCTGGGCAACATAGTGAAACCCTGCCTCTACAAAAATACAAAAATTAGCTAGGTGCGGTGGCTCATCCTGTAATCCCAGCTCTTTGGGAGACTGAGGTGGGTGGCTTGCTTGAGCTCAGGAGTTCGAGACCAGCCTGGGCAACATGGCGAAACCCCATCTCTACTAAAAATACAAAAATTAGCTGGGCATGGTGACTCACGCCTGTAGTCCCAGCTACTTGGGAGGCTGAGGCTGGAGGATTGACTGAACCCGGGAGGTTGAAGCTGCAGTGAGCTGTGACCGCACACTACACTCCACCTGGGTGACAAAGCGAGACCCTTTCCCCCCCCCCCAAAAAAAAAAGACGCAGACTCAGACACCGATGTTCACAACAGCCCAGCGATGGGTAGTCCTTGAGTTCGCAGCCAGGGGATGGAAGAGCAGCTGCGTCTGTCCTATCCACACTGCGGAGTGACTGCGCTCTGAGAAGGAAGGAGATCCTGACGTTCACCCAGCAGGGAGGAATGCCAGGACAAGAGGCTCAGTGAAACGAGCCCGTCACCAAAGCATGAATCCTGCAGGACCCACTTACACGAGGTCCCCAGAGTCGCCAAAACCATAGAGACAGGAAGAAGAATGGAGGGAGCTGGGGGCTGGGAAGTGACTGGGAGTGTGCGTTTGATGCGGACAGAGCTTCAGTTTGGGAAATTGGAGAGCTCTGTGGACAGAGAGAGGTGACGGCTGCATAACGAGAATCCTTTATTTGGTGCCATTAAACTGTGCACTTAAACAGGGTTAAGATGATACATTTTATGCTATATGTATTTTACCACAGTTAAAAATTAAGGCCAGGCATGGTGGCTCACGCCTGTAATCCCAGCACTTTGGGAGGCCAAGGTGAGCAGATCACCTGAGGTCAGGAGTTCGAGACTAGCCTGACCAACATGGAGACACGCCATCTCTACTAAAAATACAAAATTAGCTAGGCGTGGTGGCGCATGCCTGTAATCCCAGCTACTTGGGAGGCTGAGGCAGGAGAATCGCTTGAACCCAGGAGGCGGAGCTTGCAGTGAGCGGAGATCCCGTCACTGCACTCCAGCCTGGGTGACAGAGCAAGACTCCATCTCAAAAAAAAAAAAAAAAAAAGGTAATCACACAGCTCCTGGCCCCTGCCTAAAACTCTGGGAACCAGCTTTTTGGGAGGGCTCCAGGTCACTCTGCCATCCTCAGCCCCTCTGCCTTGGTTTCCCTGCTGGCACAAGGAGGCTCAGGCACGGGCTCTAGAGCGCAGGCTCAGGCTGCTGGGCGATCCATCCCCATCCAGGCCTCCAAGCTGGGCTTCCAAGGGTGACAGCCAGGGACAGCTGCGTGCCGCCTTCCCTCTCCCCAGCCCCCTAGCAAATTTCAGGCCTCTCAGGCACTGTCCAGGAGTGGCCAGCAGAGGGGCCTTGCCCTATGCAGGGGCTCAGACATCCTGACCTGCAGCTGAAGGGTGAAGGGCCCAGGCTTGGCGGCCAGCTTCCCCTCAGAGAGGCCCCACCGCTGGCTCCAAGCACTCCCTGTGGCCTCCTGTCCACCTGCGGCCAGGGAGAGGCCACCCACTGATCACATCCTCCTCCTGGCAGTGCCTGGCCACACCCCCACCTGCCCAAGTCAGAGCCCCCATCAGAGGTCGTGGGCTGCAGCCCTGCTCAGGCTGTGAGCAGGGGACTCCTCCCTGAAATGGGGCCACCAGCTTCTCAACGAGGACAAGGCACAGTCCAGGCAGCTGAGGTCATTTGTCTGGTTCTTTCAGGAGGGGTGGGCCCTGGCCTCCTGCTTCCGTGGCATCCACTCACTGATGGCTGTCCCAGGCAGGGCTACAGAGGGAGGACCCCCAGCAGCTGGGGAAGGGCCCAGAGCTCCAGTAGCAGTGGGGTCCTGGGGGGCCTGGAGCAGAGGGCATGGCTGCGGTGGGGGGAGCCCTCCAGGCCCAGGTTGGTCTCGCCCCCTCAGACCACTTGTCCTGGGCACTGGATCTGTTTCCGGCAGACTTGCTCAAGATGAAAAACAGGAAAGCAGAGAAACAATGGGGGGTGGGTGGTGTTCTGGCAGGATAAGGTCCGACAGCTCCGTTTGGGGTGAATGTGCCCGAGGCAGGGCCAGGCAGGGAGGCCCAGCATGGGCGGAGCCTCGGAGGACAGCCAGGAGGGAGGCTGCAGCTGGTGCTGGGCCCAGGGCTGACCCCAGCTGGGGACAGTGACACCGAGCTAGGGACTTACCCAGTTCTGCTCCCCAGAGCCCTGCCTGGGCTTGGGCCAGGGCCTGTTTCCGCCTGGCCAGCACTGGTTCATCCCCCAGGTCTTTTGTTGTTGTTGTTCTCTTGAGACAAGGTCTTGCTGTGTTGCCCAGGCTGGAGTGCAGTGGTCCAGTCACAGCTCACTGCAGCCTCGAACTCCCAGCTTCAAGTGACCCTCCCACCAGGCCTCCCAAGTTCTTGGCATTACAGGCATAAGCCACCTTGCCCAGCTCTCCCCCAGGTCTTGATCTTCCCCAGCTGCCATCCCTGGCCCTGCTGGGATCCCAAGCAGCTGCTCTGCAAGGCCCCCATAGTGCTCCCTGGCCCACCCTGGCTCCTGGGCCTGGCACAGATGGATGGGCAAAGCTTGAGTGTGGAGGTGGCCCCACCATCCAGGACCTGGGCTGGGGCTTTGCAGGGGCAGGTGGGGACCAGCTGCCAGTGTAGCCACTTGGAGGGTGGGGAGGGTCACCCACGGGATGGAGCAGCACTGTGGTCCTCAGCCCAGCAGGCTCAGACCATGGGCCGGGAGCCCCACAGCACTGACCCAGAAAGGCAGTTCACAAGGCCAGGAAACTGAGGCCACTAGAGGGGCAGGCTGGATTCCGACCAGGGCTCTGGCCCCGAGCCAGCCACCCTGGGAACAGCCAGCGCCCCTCTCCTGCCATTCCTTGGCGGAGCTCCAAGCATCAGCATCTCTTCTGCAGCCGCTGGCTGAGGCCCTTCCTCCAGGGAGGGCACCACTGTGCACCCCACCTCCCAGCGACTGGGGTGGTCCCCTTAGCTCTCACCCTGCCCCAAGGCTGAGCCAGGACCACCACACCCTGAAGCCCCAGGTGGGCACAGAGGGTCTCGCCGCAATCTGGGAGTTGCTGGGTTCCATACACTCTTCCCAGAAGGGGAGCTGAGGCCAACCAGGCCCTGAGCTCAGGCAGGACCCTGGCAGGGTTCCTCCTGCTGACCCGGGACCACCCTGCGGGGACCAGGGAGGTACAGGCAGATCTGACCAGGACTGGCTCCTCTGGCAGATGCCTGGGGTCCTGGAGGGTCAGGGAAGGCATCCCGTCAAGAGGCTGGGCCCTGCATGATTGCAGCCTGATGGGCCTGGCCTGCATCTCCCCAAAGCAGAAGGTGAAAGGGCGCCTGGCAGCCGGAACCCAAGGCAGCCCGGGTCTCCCATGCGGACCCGGCAACGCCCCAGGAGGGGACGGTGACTTGTTCAAGGTCATCCCGGGGTCAGGGCAGGGTCCCTGCGCTATGGCTGGCTGATGGGATGAAGGGGCGGGGGACAGGGAGGTCATGTCCTTGCCAGGGCGTTTCTGTGTGTCCCAAGTTTTCTACCGCAGAATAACACATCTTATTTTTTAATTGAAGAAAAGAGGAAAGGACTTTTGTGTGGTTTCTGAGCCTGGGGGGCAGGGACCGCCTGCAGGGCGGGGCGGGGGGCCTCTAGGCCGCAGCATCCCCCGCCCGGACTCTCCTGTCGCCGTCGCCGCCACCGCCCCTTGCCCAGCGTCCCGTCCTTCCCAAGCCACTCACCTCCCCCCTCTGCCCAGCCCGGGCTCATGAACCCCTCGTGTCTGAACCCGGGGCCCCGCTCCGCGCTCGGCCCACTCCGGGGCTGGAGCTTGGCCTCCCCGAGCAGAGGCGGCCGAGGGCGGCGGGCGCGCACCGCGCTTACCTGCAGGCCCTTGGAGAAGGGGCAGAAGAGCACCAGGTGCGCCAGGCGCCGCAGCCGCCGCATGGTGGGCGCCGGCCGGGGCTGCGCGGGCCCCGCGGCTCGCTCGGCCTCAGCCCCGGCCCGGCCCGGCCCGCAGCGGCCGCCGCTCCTTCGCCATGCGGGCCGCGCGCCCCCGGGCCCGCGTTAAAGGCGAAGGCGCGCGCCTTTCTGACGGCCGACGGCGGCGCGGCGGGGGCGCGCGGGGGCGCGCGGGGGCGGGGCTTGGCGCGCGGCCCTCCTTCGACCCCCGACTGGGCTGAGGAGGGGGCGGGCACCGAGGCCACGCCCACCCGCAGACCCCGCCCCTCCTGCAGAGGGGCCGGGGGCGCGCGGGAGGGGCCTGGGGCCGGGGCCGGGACCGGGGCGCGCCGTGGCGTCTCGCGGGCGCTTCCCACGCAGGAGGGAGGCCCCGTGCGCTGCGCCGGCTGCGGGGTTCAGGGCTCCCCACGCGCGCCCCCGGTTCGAGGCCGCAGAGCCAGGGCCGGTCCTTTCCCTGGGTCCTCAGGATGGGGTCAGACGCGCGGAGCCCTGGGCTGGCCGATCCTGCAGCCCGCCCCGGGGTCCGACCCTTCTCTGCGGCCTGAGACCCCGCGCCTTGGCCCCTCGCCGCGAGGACACTCCCGTCGCCTCCGCGTGGGGTGCTCAGGGATGAGCCGCTGCCGCCTCCACAGACAGGTTCCGTGTGAACAGAAGTTTTCATTGCACTTGGGTAAACACCTGGGAGGGCTGAGTTGGACGGTGAGGGATGTGGGGCGCCGCCAGCAGCTGCCAAGACGCGCTCCCTCCCCGCGGCCGCCGGCGCTTCCAGCTGCTCCGCATCCCGGGCGGCTCTCGCCATCGGCAGGTTTTTAAATTTTAGCCATTTCCCTGGTGGTGGCGTTTCGCTGGGGCTGTGGTTCGCGTTTCCCGAGTAAGGAATGAGGTTAAACACTTTTTTTTTTTTGAGACGGATTCTTGCTCTGTCGCCCAGGCTGGAGTGCAGTGGCCGGATCTCGGCTCACTGCAAGCTCCGCCTCCCGGGTTTACGCCATTCTCCTGCCTCAGCCTCCCGAGTAGCTGGGACTACAGGTGCCCGCCACCTCGCCCGGCTAGTTTTTTTTGTATTTTTTTAGTAGAGACGGGGTTTCACCGTGCTGGCCAAGATGGTCTCGATCTCCTGACCTCGTGATCCGCCCGCCTCGGCCTCCCAAAGTGCTGGGATTACAGGCTTGAGCTACTGCGCCCAGCCGAGGTTAAACACTTTTTGCGTGATCATTTACCACCTGTGTATCTTCTCCAGAGTCTATTCCAGTTTTTGACCATTAATAAAAATTACGTTCTTTCCTTTTTATTAGGTTTTGAGGCTTCTTTACATTTTGGTTTTAATTTTTAATATATAGAATGAGACTGGGTCTCGCTATTTTGCCCAGGCTGGTCTCGAACTCCTGGGCTCAAGGGATCATCCCGCCTTGGGCTCCCAAGGTGCTGGCTGGGATTACAGGCATGAGCCACCTGATGTCCAGCCGAGAATTTTTTTTTTTTTTTTTGAGACAGAGTCTTGCTATGTTGCCCAGGCGGGAGTTGTCTCAAACTCCTGGCCTCACGTGATCCACCTGCCTCAGCCTCCTAAAATGCTGGGATTACAGGCGTGAGCCACCATGCCTGGCCCAAGACTCCTTTTTTTTTTTTTTGAGACGGAGTCTCGCTGTGTCGCCCAGGCTGGAGTGCAGTGGCCGGATCTCAGCTCATTGCAAGCTCCGCCTCCTGGGTTTTTACGCCATTCTCCTGCCTCAGCCTCCCGAGTAGCTGGGACTACAGGCGCCCACCACCTCGCCCGGCTAGTTTTTTGTATTTTTTTAGTAGAGACGGGGTTTCACCGTGTTAGCCAGGATGGTCTCGAACTCCTGACCTCGTGATCCGCCCATCTCAGCCTCCCAAAGTGCTGGGATTACAGGCTTGAGCCACCGCGCCCGGCCGCCCAAGACTCCTTTATATCTTCTGGATATCTGTCCATTATTACACATGTAATTTGCAAAGATTTTTCTCCCAGTCTGTGGCTTTCTTTCCATTCTCTTAACATTTTATTTCTTTTCTTTTCTTTCCTTTTTTTTTTTTTTTGACGGAGTTTCACTCTTGTAGCCCAGGCTGGAGTTCAGTGGCACAATCTCAGCTCACTGCAACCTCCACCACCCAGGTTCAAGCGATTCTCCTGCCTCAGCCTCCCAAGTAGCTGGAACTACAAGTGCAAGCCACCATGCCTGGCTAATTTTTGTATTTTTAGTACAGACGGGGCTTCGCAACGTTGGCAAGTCTTGTCTCGAACCCCTAACCTCAGGTGATCCGCCTGCCTTGGCCTCCCAAAGTACTAGGATTACAGGTGTGAGCCACCGCGCCCGGCCAACAGTATCTTTCAAGGAGCAGAAGTTCTTGATTTTGATAAGGGCCAATTTAACTATTTTTTTTTTTTTTATAGATTGTGCTTTTGCTTATTTATTTTGAGACGGGTTCTCACTCTATCACCCAGGTGGGAGTCCAGTGGCCCAATCATGGCTCACTGCGGCTTCCAGCTCCTGGGTCAAGTGATCCTCCTGCCTCAGCCTCCTGAGTAGCTGGGACTACAGGTGTGTGCCACCACGCCAGGCTAATTTTTTTTTTTTTTTTTAGACGGAGTCTTGCTCTGTCACCTGGCTGGAGTGCTGTGGTGCGATCTCGGCTCATTGCATCCTCTGACTCCCTAGTTCAAGCGATTCTCCTGCCTCAGCCTCCCAAGTAGCTGGGATTACAGGCACGTGCCACCATGCCCAGATAATTTTTGTATTTTTAGTAGAGATGGGGTCACCATGTTGGCCAGGATGGTCTCAAACTCCTGACCTCATGATCCGCCTGGCTTGGCCTCCCAAAGTGCTGGGATTATAGGCATGAGCCACTGCGCTCGGCCGCACCAAGCTAATTTTTTGATGTTTTGTAGAGATGGGGTTTTGCCATGTTGCCCAGGCTTGTCTTGAACTTCTGGGCTCAAGCGATCCTCCCACCTTGGCTTCCCAAAGCGCTGGGATTCCGGGCGTGAGTGAGCCACTGCAACCAGCCCGGATCATGCTCTGAGTGTGTCATGTCTAAGAAAGTTTTGCCTAACCGAAGGTCACAGAGGTTTTCTGTGCTTTCTTCTAGAAGTTGTAGAGTATTCAGCTTCATATTTAAGTCAGCGACCCAGTTCGAGGTAACTTTTGTGTATTGTGCAGGGTGTGGATCGGAGCGTTTTCAGTTTGGGGTTTGGGGGTTTTGTGTGGACATCCAATCCTTCCGGCAGCATCCGTTGAAAAGATGAGTCCCTCCCCACAGAATTGCATGGCAGGGAGTTCAACCGAGAGGGATGAGGCCAGGAGGCAACGGGGTCAGTGTTCTATGCCAGGTATAGAAAGGAGGGGTGGGCCCGGGGGTGTGGCAGTGGCCTAGGCCAGAGACCTGGATGGACAGGGCTGGAGGCAACGTGAGGAAGGGGAGAGGGGCCAGTGGGAGAAAGTGGCAGGTAGACCCTCCCAGTCTCAGTGACCCCCAAGGTAGCTGCAGCCCAGGCTGGGAAGAGGGACTGCCATGTCCCCGAGTGACCTTTCCTCTCTGCCTCAATCCAAGCACCCTCCCAGTGAGGGTCCCGGAGCTCCAAGAAAGGGAAGAGCAGTACGAGAGGGTGGGACACAGAGCACAAGCACCAAGAGGCCAACACGCGGGCTTCTCCCGGCCTGGAGGGAGGCCTTGCCATGTCTGCAGCTGGGAGAGCATGTGCTTCCCTGAGTGGCCTGTCCTCCTCCTGCAGGAGGGCTGTCCCAGGGCCAGGGGGAGTGGGTGCAGGGCAGTGGTGGTCGGCCTGGCCTGCAGGGAGTTCAGCCAGAGGGTGCAGGAGCGCATGCCTTCCGTCAATGTGAGCCAGGCCAAGACTGCGGCCAAGAAAGTTCTGGAAGGTCTCCCGGGGAGGGCTTCCTGGGGGAGGGGCACAGGAGAGAGTGGTCCATGGGTCAGGATCTGGGGAAGGTGTGGGCCACGAGAAGGATAAGCGCAGCCTCAGTGCCACCCCCAGGCTGCTAGGAGGGAGATGGCCCACCCTGGGAAGAGTGCCTGGTGAACGCATAGCTGGCCCTGGGTGACCCTGTCCCTGAGATCTTCCAAAAAGGCATTTCCCAGCAGGGCCCGCGGGATGGGGTGCTCCCTCCAGGCAGGGACCAGTGACCACGTTCTCCTGTGCACCTGCGGCGCCCGGCCCAGAACCTGCACACTGTCCATGGATACTAGCCCATCAAGTGTTCATGGAATGGGCACTGGCTGGGTTCCAGTTCAGTTTGAGTGGGTCTAGTCCTCGTTTTAGGGCCCTTGTTTCTGCACCACCAGTGGGTGGCATTCACCTCCCTGAAACACGAATGGGACAGAGGACCCAGGAGGTGCTGACTGGTATCTCAGGTGAGAGGGGCAGGAACTGGGCCGTGCCTTGCTGTTTTCAGTGCCGTTCGTGCCTGAGGCCCTGAGCTCAAACCCTGGCCAGTGCAAACGGCAGGTAAACGAAAGGTCCGCTGCAGAGACACAGGCTCACACACACCTTCGGGGGAAGGCTCCGGGGGCCATTCTGAAAGTCGAGGATCTTTCCGCCCTCTCTTTCCTTCCCATTCCTCCTGAGGCCTGGGAGTTTCCTCCCCAGGCAGGGGGCCCATTGCTCTCCCTGCCCTGCTGCAAAACTGGCATGTCCCATTCCAACTGCTATAACTGAGTCTCTTCCCCAATCATCCCCTACTCACACCCAGACCTTTTATCTGGAAGGGTCATTGCCAGTTATCAGTTTAATCCCTCGCAGCTCCAAATTCACCCTACGTTGCCTGCCCGATGAAAATTAAGCTGGACCCTTGAAATGCGTTTCCTTTGCCAGCAGGCATGATGCGGAGTGTTGGCCATAGAGGGTGCTGGAGAGCATGGGGGCTTTGCCTTCCTAGTTTGGAAGTGTTTGCACAGCCAGCCCCTGTAGCAGGCATGTTTCTCTCGCACCTGGTGTCCGCCGCATCTGACTCCTGCCCAGTGGCCCCTAGCTCCCATGACACCCCCTCAGGCAGTTTGGTAGTGACTGCCTTCCGTGAGACGCCTTCCTGTGAGCGGCTTGCCACAGCACCCAGCAA